ATCCGTGTGCTAATTGTCTCGTGGGGAGTCGTGATTAAATTCATATTGCATGCGTAGGTTACTTAAAGTCATCTGATGAGCCGCACTGTCAAACCCCGTCAGGCTGCTTACTGCACACTTCACGGCTGAGCTTATCTCACTCTCTCTGCTGCAGCGCTCCTCTGGCCGTGTCTTTGTAAACAGGTTGCTTCGTATCGACGGCAGCCTGAAGGTGGTGTGTGTGTGTGTGTGTGTGACTGGCTGATTACCAGTGCGGCCGCGTCTCAAGGCTCCGTCAGTGCTGGGCTCCAGGTGCATGCTGGGGCCTTCTGTCTGTCTGCCATGGCTGACCTACACCGGCACCCACCATATGTGTCCTTCTTAACGCCTTCTGTCACTGTCACAGCGCACGTCATGTACACTGGTGGTCCCTGTCTGACTCTCCATCTCTCAACCCTCTTTATCGCTCTCACGCATTGAGAGCTGAATGCTGCTGATGGTACAGCAGCCTGAATTTGTTCATGTCGCTTTATTTCAAAAGTCTATATATATTCACTCACAATAGGTCAAATTCATCTTTTGCCATAATGATCTTTTACCAATGACTTCATGTAATGAGAGAATGCACTTGTTTTAAGTGGATGCCTTTCTTACTTAGGCTATAGTACAGGGAACAGCTCTTTCTATGGGTCGATATTTTCGCCCCTGTATTCGTTGCCATGAATGTGCCATTGCACCACATAATAATCTGCTCTTTTTTCAACCGGTGACACTGGCCTGAAGTCAACAGTGTAGTAGCCACATTTGGCTGGCTGGTGTATGGACACATTCTGGCAGTCCCACCTGGCTCGGCACCACGGCCCGGTGGAGCGGCAGAGCCCCCGGTAGGCCTGGTTACTCCGGACCTGGGCAATTTGGCCGGTAATTAAGTCATAAACCCCCCCCCCCCCGACCACATGAAAAGGGCCGCATCCGACTCCGCCGAGCGCACCCTATGAGTAATGTGGTTCACTTCCACAATTGGCCAGTTCAGCTGATAAGAAACCAATTCAGTCCGTCTGCTTCTCGACGGCATTAGCAGCAGACTCACCTTGAGTTAATGAAATGCCTCCACAGATACATCCTCTGGAATCTAATACACCCGACCACTACAGAATGCAATATGGCATGAGCATATAGAGAGATCTAACTCATCTGTTGTGCAATTCAGAATTATCTCACCTCTGTGCACTGAAATTGATTACACAGCAGCTCCGGAGTAAGCTAGCAAATAACTGGCAGTCCCATCATGAGTTAGCTAGTATGTGTTTGTCTTCTTCATTTAAAGCAACAGACTTAAATTAGTTATTTTGTAATCTATAAAAAACTAAAAGTCTTAAATAGACTCTACTGCCTTCATATATGTGCACATGAATGATATTTAGCAATAAACACAATTTGCATCTAAGCTTTTTCTAACATAAGTGTTTACTCAGTGTTTCACACATGACCTCATTAAAACTGCTTCCACCACACAAGCTAGTTTTTATACAGAGATTAGATCTTACTAAATATTTGCAAACCATATAGGTCAGGTGTAACTGTTACATATAGAACTGAACCGAGTGACAAAATAAATGCTAGCTTGCAAATGTTTGAGCCGTTTAGAGTGAAGAGATGAGACGGAGAGAATCAGAATATCTGAGCGAATGAAGTCGAGATGTAAATCTTGACAATTTTAAATTACATTTCACAAAAGTAACACAAAGTACCTCAATGTATCGAAACTTTACTCCAATTTAACTGAAATAAAATGATTGTATGAATGCAGGTGTGGTTACAGACTCTCTCTCTAGTATTGTATTGTATATCGTGGCGGCGTTATTTCCTAGCACTCTGGTGTACAAAGACCTCGGGAAGGACCTTACATAGAACTTGTGCGTTCTTGTGTGTGTTTGTAGGCTGTCCATCCAGCCACGTGTCTCAGACTGTGTGAAGACAAAATCACATACTGCCGCTCATCTGTCAGAGAGGTTGGATTAAACCTCTGGGTGGGAATGTGGTCTTCATACATTAATAACGAATGCACTGCAGGCCGACTAAGGTTAGGGGACGGGGAGAACGAGGGAGGACATCGCAGGAATTGGGTTGAAAAGGTAAAGTGGTTAGAAAGGGGCGAATGTGTGCTCTGAGATGACGTAGGTGTTTCAGGCTCTTCAAGCACAGAGAGGGGTACTCTACGCTGTTTCAATGACCAGACCTGAACACGCTGCTAGACAAGAGCCTCACTACACAGTGACACCTTGACAGGAGTTCCGAGGCTGTAATGTGGCGACTTTTTCATTAAATGTCCGTTGCAATGTTGTTTAATACTTTAAATAGGATCGTTCCTAAATGATCACCATGAAGCCACTGAGCTGAAGAACATTGTTAGACACACGTTTGTAATGCATCGCTGCAATAATATATTTAAATGTGCCCCCTCCCCTGGAGTGTGACCACACGCCTACTGTTTGTGACACTTGTGTTGAGTCACCACTCTCTCACCTGTCAGACCAGTTAAATCATTGCAATACCTAGACACACACACACACACACACACACACACACACACACACACACACACA